GCCCGTGTTGTTGTGTCTAGATTTTAATGATCTCATCTCCACTTGGGAGAACTGGGTACTGTATTGCCTTACCATGAATTAGATGATTTTCCTTCAGTTTTCAACATTTTTAGTTTGAGATTGTTATATGGCCTAGACTCCATCACATTAGCTCTGGGAATGGCCACATTAATTAGGACTTCATCAAGATTCGCTTGAAATTAGGGAACAGTTGGTTCATGCTTTGGTTATTCTGCCATTATTTTTGTCTGTTTTAAATGAACATAAGGAATCCTTGAGATTTTGGATAACAATTGGTTTTCCAAAATAGATTAAACAAGAAAGGGAAACTAATAAGAACAGATAATGGGAAAAATATGAAGTTCTGCCTTTGACTTTAAAAAACTCAACTATTCAACATGGGTCATATATAAAGCTCGGCTTTTCTAGAAGCTAAACTAAAGGAAGCCCTATGGACTTCAAGGTAGCAGTCATCTTCACCCTAGTGTGACAGTCCCAGTGTATGCCCGCTGTCCCTGCAGAATTATCAACACATCTAGAGGAGACAGTATGGTTACCCAGGTTTTAGTTGACATTGAGATCAGTATTAGATTGTGGTGTGGTGGGTTCCTAAGATTGCTAATTCGGCTTCAGATTACACTAGAAGAAATAAAGGAATCTGAAGCAAGAGGATTCAAAGTCTCATTACCCTCTGCATGGATGAGGTCCCAGCTGATGTGTAGCATCCTGAGCACCACATGTCAGAAGGGCAGCAGTACACAGGAGCACTTCTAGAAGATGGTCAGTAGGTTCTGAAAGGGCTTGGAAACCTCATAAGAGAAAGTGTTAAAAGCAGTGCTGGAATGCATTCCTGGAAAACAGAAGACTTAGCACACGTAGTAGCTGCCACTCAACACTGGAAGGCTTGTTATGGGGAATCAGAATTAGGTAAGTCCTGTGGGCTTCCAGAAACCAGTGAAGAGCAATTCTAAGGAGGTTGTAGAGAAGGGACAGGGGAAGTTGGCATTTTAATGACCCTGACAGAAGTTCTATCCCTTTTATAAACTAAAATGCTTTAAATAACTGGCAAAGATCTAGTAGACCTGGTAAATTAATCCTGGTAAATGAGAAAGTAATGCTTGCGTAACTCTTTAGAATTAACTTTACTTTTATTACTTCAAACAAGAAATAATTCTTAACTAAACTTATGTTCATGAAGTTACTCTGATTCCGCCTTCTTTGGTGCTAATGGATCTCTCTCCTCCCTAGTCCTTCCTTATTTCATAAGGATTAAATTTGGATCTGTGTTTTCATGGCATGGTAGTTCTTCACAAGCTCCCCCTCCTGCCCTGTTTCCCCCTAATTTTTTTCACACTCCTCCTTCACACCAGCTTATTGCCTCTTAAACATACTAGGCCCTTCCTACTTCTCTCTCCATACTTTTGCAAAGGAATCCTCTCCTCTCTCTCTCTCTCTCTCTCTCTTTCTTTTGTATTCCTAGTGTTACTTCTGTTACAATACTTTCCTGATTCATCCAGGCAGATGCAGCTTCTTCTGGGTGCCTCCGTTTCTATTACATTTGCCCCTAATGTGCTTATGTCAGTGTACGGTAGGAAGAAACACTAGGTAGGTATCTCTGCCTGGCCCAGTAGTATATTCTGAGCCGAAATTGGGTAGATTTAAGTCGAACTCTGCTGCCAGCCTGACCTAACATCTCATAATTCCCATTCTTTTCTGTTGTCACTAATATACAAGAGATCGATAAACACGTGAGCTTGATTTTCTTCATTCACTCGACAAGTATTTATTGAACACCTGTTAGATAACAGGCATTGCTGGGAGCTTGACCTTACAATACGATTGATTCTTCAGAGGTACATTGATGACCTAGTGAGGGACCCAGATATGGTACGTGCTGTCAAATGAAGTGAGCACACATAATCACCATGGGAGCGATTCAGTTGACTGTTGACCTTGCTGTCTTGATTCATTTTTCTACCATGCATAAAGCGTCTGTCGCGCCAAGGTCTGTGACTTGGGTCCTGGCTACAGAAGATGCCATGGATGCACCGTTAAGGAGAACCTGCCCTGCAGTTTTACCCTTGAGTAATCCCTTCAAAGGGAATTAGATGTAAATAATATACTGATGTTTATCTACCTTGGGGGGAGAAGGTAGTAATGGTGAATGGCATCAGAATCCATAGCCATTCATTCTGGTTTTATCATTTACAGATACTGTAAGGCAAAGTCACAGGGTGTGAAACTTGTTAAACCACCTCTTTTTCACTCATGTCTTAACTTTAAACACTATGGTTTGCCTGTTTGTTTTATAGAAACTAGAAAAACTGCTTTTGGAATTATTTCCACAGTGAAGAAACCTCGGCCATCAGAAGCAGATGATGATTCTCTTCCAGCTTGCAAGAAAGCCAAGTGTGAGGGCTGAAAAGAATCCCCAGTCCTTGTCAGCGCTCCCTTCCTCCATTTGGTAGTCTGTCCACCACAATGGAAATAAAAGCTTTGTATGCTTTACTGTTTTCATTTGGAGCTAGGAATTGGTAGTCTATGAAAACAATTTTATATTCAAGCCATTAAAATAACAAAACCTAGTGAAGCAGTAAAAAAGAAGACCGCCAGCTTAATAGAATTTTGATATACTTTAAGAGAAAAACAGAGACTGGCTTATTTATTATTTGTATTAAGGATAAACAGCAGGTATAATTGAGTAAGATGCTTCAGTATTTCTGGGCAGTTGGGTGGTTCAGTCTGTTGGGCGTCCGACTTTGGCTCAGGTCACGATCTCACAGTTTGTGAGGTCGGGCTCTGTGCTGATGGCTCAGAGCCTGGAGCCTACCTGGGATTCTGTGTTCCCCTCTCTCTCTGCCTCTCCCTTTCCCCCCATCCCCCACCCCCAAAACAAACATTAAAACAATTTTTTTTAAAGATGTTTTCAATATTTCAAGACTCTTGAAAAATGTTTCTTCTTCATTTAAAAGTACATGCTTTGCTGCTTTACTTGATACACATGGCTTATTATTTTTCAGTCTTATGCAAAAAGTGGTTATCTTGAGGCCTGTTAAGCCATACTAAGGGGTTGGCTGTTAGTCAGTCTATTCTTGTTGTTGTAAGCCTCTCTCTCATTATATTCATCAAATCAAAGTTCTTCCTAAAAGAAATTGCTGTAAAGGTTGTGGAAGGAGAAAGTGCATGTAAAATCAGCCTCTTCCTTTGCTGGTTCTTACCTCCATGATGTTCTTGAAATAGAATTCCCTCCTTTTTTTTAAAAAAAAAAATTTTTTTCCAACGTTTATTTATTTTTGGGACAGAGAGAGACAGAGCATGAATGGGGGAAGGGCAGAGAGAGAGGGAGACACAGAATCGGAAACAGGCTCCAGGCTCTGAGCCATCAGCCCAGAGCTAGAATTCCCTCCTTTAAGTTGAAAGTCCCTAAAAACCTAATACTGATTTTCCTAATAGCAGTATTAAAAATATCTAACCATTGTACTCAACCAACCTTGTAAATAATTTTTTTTAAGTAGTAGAATCATTATATTAAGAAGAAGTTGCCTTTTTTTTTTTTTACAAATATCTGCATTTATGTTATATTGATATGAAGAAAATAAGTGAGAAAAAGAACACTATGTGAAAGAAGAAAGATAATTTTAAAAAAAGAAAGCTTTCAGGGTGCTTGGGTGACTCAGTCAGTTAAGTATCTGACTCTTGATTTTGACTCAGGTCATGCATGATCTCTTGTTCATGAGTTTGAGCCCCGTGTCAGACTCTGCACTGACGGTACGGAGCGTGCTTGGGACTCTGTCTCCCTCTCTGCTCCTCCCCCACTCACGTTTATTCTCTCCCTCTCTCTCTCTCTCTCTCTCCCTCTCTCTCAAAATAAATAAATTTAAAAAAAGAAAAGCTTTTGGGGTGCCTGGGCGGCCCAGTCGGTTCAGCGTCCGAGTTCAGCTTAGGTCATGATCTCGTGGTTCGTGAGTTTGAGCCCCTTGTCGGGTCGTGCTGACAGCTCAGTGCCTGGAGCCTGCTTCGGATTCTGTGTCTCCCTCTCTCTCTGCCCCTCCCCTACTCATGCTCTGTCTCTGTCTCTCAAAAATGAATAGATGTTAAAAAAAAAATTAAAAAAAAAAAGCTTTCTGTCAGTCTCACTTATGAATATAGTTGCTAAAGTAAAATATTGGTAAAGAGAGACTATTAAAACAGTATACCATGGCAGATGAGATTTATTCTAGGAACATGAGGATATTTCAGTTCTTTTTAATGTACTTTTTCATATTTATTAGTCAAATGAGGAAAATCAGAGTTGTCTTAACAGGTGCCAGAAAGACATTTGATAAAACTTAAAACCCACTCCTGGTTGTGATCATAACCATGGCAGAACACAAGTAAAAGAATATTTCACATACACACACACGTATGTGTGTCCATATATGTTTATATTAAGCATGAAGGCTCTAAAGACAAAGCATTTTTGTCTGACTTCCTCTTGAGCAATTTGATGGATTAGTCACCTCCACTCCCCTCCGTAAAACTGATGGCCGCCGCCGCTGAGCCCACGTGCCACAGTTGGCCACTTCCTCGAGTGCCAGTTTGCGCCTCCCTCCACCCCACTTGGATTCTCCGAAAGTTAGGTGTGTGTTTCTTCACAAGTCTGTTTATACCACTGTGGGTAGCGTTGTAAAATAATATATGCTAACTAAACATTATAAAAACTATTGCACTATGAGGAACAAAAAAAAGAATTCCCAGGAAATCCAAGGTGATGCTTCCCAGGAATTCTTTTTTTTGTCTCTCCTAGCGCAACAGTTATCACAATTTTTAGTTAACATATATATATAACATACATAACAAAAGGTGAGCCACTGAAAAACCCTGTAGGGCGCCTGGGTGGTTCAGTCAGTTAAGCGTCTGACCTCGGCTCAGGTCATGATCTCACGGTTCCTCAGTTTGAGCCCCACGTCAGGCTCTGTGCGGACAGCTGAGAGCCTGGAGACAACTTTGGATTCTGTGCCTTCCTCTCTCTGCGCCCTCCCCCTGCTCGTGCTTGCTCTCTCAAAAATAAACATAAAAAAAAAAACAAAAAACAAAAAACACCTGCTGTCAAAGTAGGTGTGAACAGGACAACTAGGATTTGGGGGGATCCAGTAAAAATTCCACACTTGGATTGCTTCGCTCAAGTCTTAAGTTCTCTTTCTTCTTTAAAGAGACAGGGACTCAAGAAGACAGCTGTAGATTTCCCATCGGAGGGTCCATACTCCCAAGAACAGGCGCTCATCTTTACAGACCAGCATGTGAGTGTGCATTTATGTATTTTAAACTCAAAATATTTAAGGGGTCGTATGTTCAACCTCTTTTGATGCCCCACCTTAGTCTGCTTTTTCGGCCAACTAGTTACGTGTGTCTATTTGCCCCAGTTGCACCAGATATCATAACTGAGGGAAGTTACTGCAGATGTGACTGTCCTCTTCATAAAAGAAGCGACTGGGAAAAGATTAGAAATGCAGGTACTTCTTTGTTTCTGCACGTTTGTTATGCATTTGCAGTTGTGCCCACTTTCTACTTACGCGTAGGTGCTCGTCCTGTTGCAAAATCGGAGGGCGTGCTGGCCGGTCCTGTGGGAAGAACAGCAGGCGGGTTTCCTCTTGAGGTTTATTCTTGTCAGAACATGAGGCACTACTGATTTATTGCAACAAAATGACAATACCATAAATAAATGTTCAGCGCAGTGGTCAGTTAGGAACTAAGTGCACCAAAAGGTAATAGTTTTAGTTAGTAAGTTACTATAAAATGTCATTTTAAGATGACTCTCTTCACAAAGACACAGATCATGCCTACATAAAAATATATATAGGACCTCTGTGAAGAAAACTCTTTACATGCAGTGTTTTTAAAAGCTTACTTATTTTGAGAGAGAGAATCCCAAGCAGGCTCTGCGTGGTCAGCACAGAGTGCAACACAGGGCTCGAACTCACAAACTTTTGAGATCGTGACTTGAGCTGAAATCAAGAGTCGGATGCTTAACTGACGGAGGGAGGCACTCTTTTTTTGCATGAGGAGGCATTGTTCACCAAAGTCTCCCCCAGAGTATGAATTTAATAAAATCCAAAATAGTGTCTGCATATATTTGCTTCTGTATATGTTTGGGTTTTAAGCTACATTTTGAAAGAATAAATATGAGAATAGCTAGGAAGTTTCTTAGAAAAACACTGGGAGGGACTTGTATGCCCCGATACTGAAGACTACAACAGGACCCTAGTGATTAAAACTGCATGACTGGTGCAAAAATTCATGTAGGTCAGTGAAAGAGTCGGGAGTTCAGAATGACTCCAAATGTAAGAAGAAATGAGGGACTTTTCAATTCAGTGGCATTGGCACAACTGGTTCCCTATGGGAATGGCAGCGCGGCATACCAAGTAAGTGCAGACGAGACGTTGCCTGTGTTAAAATCTGAACTTGCCAGTACTTAGTGCCTGGGACCTTGCATAAATCACATAACCACTCTGTGCCTCACTTTCTTCATCTATTTTCATACCTGTGGTGCTACTGCAAGGAGTAAGTAGATTTATATTTGTAGAAGGCTCCAAGGAGGATCGGTCAACAGAATTACCTACTCTTTAAGTATCAGCTGTTGTTCTATCATTTAGGAGAGAAAAAGCCTAATCCCTATCTTCTCCCCAATATACACCACACTAAATTCGAGCGGATTAAAGAAATTAAAAAAAAAAAAAAAAAAAAAAACTTGTAAAATACTAGAGAAAAGGTGAGTACATTTTTTGTCTAAAACAACCTTGGGTTGGAAGAAACCTAAATGAGGTCATCAAAGCCAGAAATGTGAAGCTTGATTAATTTACCTATAAATATAATGTTCTGTTAGAAATGTGCAAACAACTAGGAAAGTGCATTTATAATGCATCTTATAGAGCAGAGAGGTCTAGCATCCTTAGTAAAAGCTTAAAAATGTTTTTGAAAAACATGCAACATGATAAATGCTATTAGTGTCCGACAGGTCCCTTTGACCAGGCTGATGTACCCCTCCTCCGGCTGCTTCAGATTTGGGCACTAATGGTTGATCTTCACTCTTCCCCAGAGCATTGCCCTTGGGCTGATGGAAGTCACCTTATCCAGGGATGCCTGGGAGGTTTTACACCCCCCACCCCTTGCAGTTGGCCCGAGGCCAATGCCTGACGCAGGGCATTCCTCGCCGGCTCTCTGGCCTCTGTGGCATGATTTATGCTCCTGTGCTGGGATAAGGCTGAGGAGAGACTTCTCCTGAAAGCACATCTTTGCCTGTTTCTTCTTCTGCCCTGTCCTGTTTCCCTTGTTGCCTTCCTAGAGCACGCTCAATAAATCACTTACGTAAGAATCCTCATTCCAAGTGCTGCTTCCAGGGAACCTGACTTAATAGAAAATGCAACAAAGATTGAACCAGAAAAACGCTCAATAAACATGAAGCTGCTGAACTTTCTAAGTAATCAAGGAAAATCCACCAAAAATAGATCTTTTGCTGATCAGGTTGAAAACTAAAAAATGTAGGGGCGCCTGGGTGGGTTAGTCAGTTGAACATCCGACTTCGGCTCAGGTCATGATCTCACAGCTTGTGAGTTTGAGCCCCGCATCTGGCTCTGTGCTGACAGCTCGGAGCCTGGAGCCTGCTTCAGATTCTGTGTCTCCCCTCTGTCCTACCCCTGCTCACACTCTCTCTCTCTCTCAAAAATAAACAAACATTTAAAAAATGGAAAAAAAGAAAGATAAAAATGTATAAAATGAAACTTCATGATTTGGGGAAATTTCTTCTACAAATGTATTTCTTCAGAAATAGCTGCTTAGGTGTAAAGGGTGCCTGAGTCAGGACATTCATTGGACAATGTCTAAAATAATGGGAAATGCCCTCTCTGCCCCTCCCCCACTCGCGCTGTCTCTCTCTCTCTCTCTCTCTCTCTCTAAAATAAACATTAAAATAATGGGAAAGTGGAAACAACCTAAATGCCCAATATAGGCCTAGTTAAGTGATCCATCGTAAATTGAAACATAAGGATACCATCTATATAGATGTGTAGAATAAATTGTTCAATTGAAACCAAAGTTACAAAACTAAATGTACAGTGCCTATGTGTAATGTGCACAGAAATAGCATGAAATAAGGATTGTTGGGGGTGTTTGCTTTCTTCATTATTCATTTCTCTAATTGGCTTAATACTTGGTGAGTAGGTATTACTTCCTCAAGGGGAGAGAGATTTTTTCCCCTTGACGGGTAAAGGCAATCCCATAGATTAAGACACCACTGGACTAAAAACAAAGTTCAGCAGGAACCCAGGTGGGGGTGGGGGACTCACAGTGTAAGTAAGGGTCAAGGACGGCTTTGTGGAAAGAAGACAGCTAACCCGAAGGGGAGGAATGAGGAGAAATGGTGGGGTGGGGTGGGGTGGGAAGGAGAGCCTCCCAGGGAGCTGGCACAGTATATGAAAACAAAACCAAGTGCCTGGGTTTTGTAAGAATTGAAAATTCCAGAGCTGAAATTCAGAGTTTAGCTAAGAAAGTGATGAGAAATAGATGAGAAGAGGGAGTTAACAGCAGTCAGATTTCAAGGATTTTTGAAAACATTGAGGAGTTTTCATTTCATCCTAAGGGAAACGGGAAGCCACTGAAGAATTTTAAAGAGGATGACTTGACCAGATTTGCATTTTAGCAAAATCACTCTGGCCGAAACTTCAAGAACAGACTGGAGGGAAGAGAGCCAGAGGCCAGGAGCCGGGCAAGGGGCCATTTGAGTAATCCGGGGGACACTGTGGCCGTCTGAACGTGTGGCTCCTGGGATGGGGGAAGTGGGCAGACTACAGAGCTGCTTAGGATTCTTGGTAAGAAGACTTGGAGGTGGGTTGGAAGAGAGGGGTGAAGAAAAGAGAATCAAGAACTAGCAGAAGTCTGTCGGTCAATGGGACATTCCCTTCACTGAGGAAAACACAAGACGAGAGACAGATTATGGGCAAGGAGCTGGGTCAGGTGGGAAGAGGAGGAGCTTACAAGTTGACCACCTGTGTGACAGAAACTTGAAAGTTTTGCCTAAAGCGTTTATCTTTTCCATTAACAGAAGGTGACTGAGCTGGCCTTGTTCCAGTGGGACTTACCCATGCTGTTTCTCATGCTCTCTACCTCTGTGCTACTGGAAATCTCTCTGTGTGGTGACACGAAAGTGTTTCAACCCTTACCCTCTTCTCCCCTCCCAGCTCTGGCGGGGAGGGGGACTTGAAGGCATCATAGAGAACTTGGTCACATGATAACTCACTAAGTTATGCTGTGGGAGACACCAGTACTAGCAAGAGAACTGTCACTCTCGTCGTAGGTGCTTTGCTAGGAAGAAATGGGAGGATGCTGAGCCTTAAGGCAAGACTAGTTAGAGCCAGGACCCTAGCAGGAGGGCAGAGGGATGGCAAAAGGGGATTGATTGAGAGGGAGGGAGACAACGGAGGGACTGAAGCTCCTGATGCCCTTGGAGGTTAGGAGACTAGATACACAAGACCCAAAAATATTTCAGAGTGTCCTCACAACTTAGGTGCCCATGACCAGCTAACTGGGACACCTTCTGGTTGTGGACGGTGCGAGTACATACTCTCAGTGTTAGAGGCAAAGCTGAGGCCGTGTGTTAGTTATCCCATCTGGGATGAGTTTTGAGGGGAGGGGTACCAGTACCAGCATTTCACGTTGGCCTTCATACATTTCCTAAAGGGCCAGACTTTTCCCATGACCTTGCCCTTGCCTGTGTCTCTCTGCTGTCTGGAACACTGGGCTTGAATGGTTCAGTTTATCCTTCAGACTCCCCTGAAAAGTCTGTAGACATCCCTGCCCTTTGCAGCTGAGACTCTCACAGGACTCTGTTTTTTTACTTCGCTGTACTCACCTCAGACCATTCCGATATATTTCTGGGATTATTTCTTTAATATTCATCTGTTCCAGGAAGTCAGGGCAAGGACCATCCGGTTTTCTCATCACAGGTCTTAGCACCTGGTCCAGCATCTGGCAACAAAATGGCTCCCCTTGAAGGTCAAATAGCATTGACCAGGTGTGTTTCCCCGTGGGCAGCCTCTGACACCAACAGTCGGTGTCCACAATAATCACTAAACCCCAGATTAGCCCTGATGGGAACTTCCTAAAGAGCCCTTGTTTAGCTTGCAGTAATCACTCTGCCCACCAGGGGTCTCTTTCTCCCCATCACTGGGGCCAAAAGAACTCTGGAACACCCCTGTATCTTGACGATGGTTTTCACAGCCTTGTTGCTCTACGTGCTGTTGTGGTGTACCCCCACCTCTGCATCACCTGGGAGCTCATCAGAAATGCAGAGTCCCAGGCCCTGCCCGCAACGGGATGGATCAGAATCTGCATTCTAGCAAGGTGGTCTTGCTTAGACCACTGGCGGTCTGTGTACACATTAAATACTGAGAGGTCCTGTTTCACAGGACATTTCTAATCTGAAAAACTTGGAAGAGAAAAAAACCACTTCATCGAAATGGCCTTTTTCATCTGGTTCTTTCCCACCACACTCATAGAAGTACTTAGAGGTTCAGAATTTGCTTTTATTATGAATATAAAATAGACATACAACATAATATACATTTACACATTTACACTTTGCAGTCCCTTTCATCTTTTTCGAGCAGATTCAACTCTGCACGGCCCAGCGGTCCACTCCCGCCACTACACCCCGCCCCTTACACTCACAACATTCTCTTCACCTTGGTACCACATGTGACTTGGTAAGAAATACCAGACCCAGGCATAAAACAATTGGCTTTACCGTCCTTCGCACAGAATCCCTTTCATTCTACGGTTTCCTTTCCTGTCACGTCATGCCTTCCGTTGCCTCGAACTTCAGCATTGAAAATTCAGGAGACAAGAGGGCTGCGATAATCACCCCTGTCTTTTAAAAACACCTTGAAATAGCTTCCACAAGCGAGGCGCACGTAAGTAGACACTGACCACATTGCTCGTTAACATGGTTCAAGATCTGCCGGAAGGATCTGAAGTGTTCTATACAAATGAAGCTTTGCTCACCAAATGGATGATTGTGAAGGATCTGAGCATCAGCGGTGTCGAAGTAAATAAATAAATAAATAACCAGGAACAA